GGCCCTGGAGGTTTATCATCCCACTCCAGTGGGTAAAGTCACACAGGAACAGGAACAAAGCCCAGAGCTCTGCCCCTGGCAGTGTCCTGGGCGCCTGGGCCAACCCCTCCTGCAGCAGCTCTCCCTGTCCTGCGTTACCTGCGGATATTTCTCGCTGGCACTGGCTCTGCTCAACATGGCCAAGACAAAAGCTGCTGTTTTCCCTGTCCCTGACTGGCTCTGGGCAATCAGATTTTGGGGCCTGCAAGGCAAAAGCAGCTTAGTGGAATGGAGGGGTGGGGGCGTTCCTGCTTGGCACCACAGGGCTGGGATGCCGTGAGGAGCCGGGGCCCAGCCGCGCTGTGTTCTACTCACGGGTGCGCCAGCATGAGTGGCAGAGCCTGCTCCTGGATTTTGGATGGTCTGTTGAAGCCCATCATATAAACCCCCTGCAAGAGCTCCTTCTTCCTGTGGAAACAAAGCATTCAAGCACCCACGTGAAGGAAGCTGGTGCAATGGAGCATGGTGGGGCTGGGGGCTGTGGCAACTCACAGGGGCAGCTCCTCGAAGGTCTTGATGGAAAAGAGTGGGGAGTTGGGGTCCCGCTGCAGGATCTCCACGTGCTGCTTGGATTCCACCAGGGATGTGTGGATCAACTTGTTCATCAGTGACAGCTCTGCCAGCGGCACTGGGAAAGGCAGCAAATGTTTCATTTACTCATAAATAAAACAAATGGAATCACAGAGTCATTGGGGTTGGGAGGGGTATCTGAAATCACCCAGTCCAAACCCCCTGCCATGGCAGGGTCAGCTGGAGAGATGCCATAGGAACATGTTCCTGTAGGCCTGGAATGTCCCTAAAGAGGGAGAATCCAGGACCTCCCTGGGCAGCCCGTCCCAGAGCTCTGCTGCTCTCTGTGTCAAGAAGCTCCTCCTCATGCTGAGGTGGAACTCCTCGTGTTTTAGTTTACAACAAAAGTCTTGTAGTGGGAATCCTCTTCTCTCTCCAGAGGATTTCTTATTGTTCTGTGGGTTCATTAGAAACACTGCAGACAACATCCACTATTCCAGACTTACTACCACTGATTTATTAAAAAATATGGATATTGATCTAGTATCGATATCCAACTGTGATGGACAAAAACTCTTTAACAGTTTAAAGCTAGACAGTGTGTGTTTATTGTGTGTGGGATCGCTCCCAAATACACACCGCGCCTTCCAGGTGATTACAGAGTCTTTTTATCTATACAAGTATTGAATACACAAAATACAAATACATATTCATAATTTTGGTACATCCCATTCCCTGCTTCGTATGCTGATCACTCCAAAAGCCATTCAGCATGCGTGGTTTGTCCCTTGAAATGGGTCGGTGGTCCCTTTCATGGGGAGGGGTCCCAAAACGAGGAAGTCAGTGAAGTCTTCCTCATTCTGACCTTTCTACCTTTTCAATGCGGGTATGACAAATGAACTCTTGGTAGAACTCCCATTCCTTGTCTTCAGTTGGTTTCAGAACAGAGGAGGCCCACAATTGTCTTATGTTCCTAAAAGCTATTTGTCAGTTTCTATATTCTTCATTATAAACCCAGCTAACAAGCAATCAATTATTAGTTAACTACTAACTCCTAACTTCATCAAGGCCTCCTCATTCATTATTATTATTTTAATTAACTCTAGTAAGGCTTATTTCTAACTAAAATCTTAGCTCCTCAAAATCTCTAAACGCCTTAAAGTTTACGTTTCACCACCATACTCAAAAACGAGCACCTGAACACACTGCACTGAGGCGTTCCCTACAGCGGGAGTAAAACAAACTGCTGATTAAATAATGATAAATACTGCGGGGCCGGGCTGGCTCCGGGACCCCTCGGGACCCACCTCTGTCGTCGTCCCGCGGAGGGGCGCGGGGAGCGGGGAGGAGCCCGAGCCCGGGGGCCGCGGCCCGGCCGGGCAGCTCCGGCAGCTCGGGCGGCTCCGGCGGCTCCGGCGGCTCGGGCAGCTCGGGCAGCTCGGGCAGAACGGGCAGAACGGGCAGCTCGGGCAGAACGGGCAGCTCGGGCAGAACCGGTGGCTCGGGCCGGCGCAGCCCGGGCGGGCGGGGGCCCGAGCGGCGCGGGGCGGCGCCGTGCCACGGGCAGCCCGGCCCGGGGCCGGTACCGGCGCCCAGGCCGCGGAGCCCGCGCTCAGACCCCGCCATGGAGCCGCCCCTCAGCGCCGGATGGGGCGGGAACATCCGGTACGGGCACCGGCGGCACCGGCACTGGCATTGGCACCGGCATTGGCACCGGCACAGGCACCGGCACTGGCACCGGCACTGGCACCGGCACTGGCACCGGCACTGGCACCGGGTACGGCCGGGGAGTCCCGCGGGTGGGCCGGCTCGGGCTGCGCCGGGACTCCGCAGGGTACCGGCACTCCTCCCCGTAAGGCTTAGCGGGTTCCGGGCGCGCAGAGCTGTCGCATGGGGAGAGGGGGACAGGGATCGTGTTATAAATTATGACACGGGACCAATTTGTGTCACTTTATAAAGAGAATTGTATTAATTTAGCAAGCAAGCAGTACGGGCAAATGCAGCGCTGGGCGGCCGGGGAGCCTCTGCTCCCCACAACGGCTCGCCCCGCACCTCCCGGTCTTTCAGTTCTCATACCCCTTCAGTTCCGGACTTTGTGATATTCTCGACGTGCTCTGCATCTGCGCGGCGTGTTGCGAGGGGTCTTTGTCTGCTGTCCGGTTTGAGGAAAGCTCCTATTCTTCTTCCTCCGAGGTGGCGTTAACCCTGCAATAACTTATTTAAATATGGTAACGCAGCCTTCAAAGATCTCTCAATTCCACTATCTACTAATAGCAGTACATCCTGCCCTCCTGCCCCACTGTTTCCTGCGACTTACACAATCCCTGGGGCTTTTCCTGATGAACAAAAACTATGCTATTGTCTTTCACAGGGGCTGTGTCCCCCTCCCCGCAGGATGCCGAGTTCGGGGACACCAAGAGGGAAGGAGGTGTCTCCAAGGTGATGGGAGATGCAGGGATCACATGGGGTTTGGGGGTGCCTGGGATGTTGGGGGACAGGGACCTCAAAGGGCAGTGAGGGTCCCCAGCTGCACAGCGGGATCCTACTGGTGCCAGCACTGGTCCCCATAAGGTTTTGGGCGTCTCTGGGGCATAGAGACTGCCCTATAGCAGGCATGTGGGGTCCCTGGGGAGATGGATGACAGGGACCCTGTGGAGCAGGAAGGGTCTGCTGCAGTCAGGGACCTCACAGGGTCAGAGAGGGGAGGTATGGGGCCCTTGGGTGCTGAAGGAGCATAGAAGCTGTAGGGTTGGGTGCTGTCCCCCACAGGGTTTGGGGAGAGTTTCAAGGGTTCTGGGGTGCAAAGACCCCTTCACAGATAGATGGGGATCCACAGGATGCTGGAGAGTCAGGGGCTTCCAACCTGGAAGTTCCCCCAAGATGCCAGAACCCCTGCATTGTGGGGTGACAGCGGAGTCCTCAAGCTTGTTTGTCCCCCATCTGGGATCACCTCCAGGGGAAGTTCAGGGGAGGCTGGACACAGGACTCCAGGCTGCAGCTGTCACATGCTTCCCACCATCCCACTCCCTTTTCCAGCCAGCCCACTGAGCTTTCAGGGACCTTTTCCTGCACCAGAACTGCCACCTTTTCAGTCCATTCCCATATCCTGGAAAAAAATTAACACTAGGAATAGCAATAGCACTACTAGTAGTGCTAATAATACTTTGCTTCCATCCTAAATCTCATTTATTTTAAAGACGAGGTAAAATAAGGCAAAGGCAGAAGAGTTAGGTGATGCAGAGATAAGTCTGGAATAATGGATGTTTCCTCCAGTGTTTCTAATGAACCCACAGAACAATAAGGAATCTTTGCAGCTGCTTTATTGAGAAAGAAAGATATTGCCGAGACATTGCAAAGAAAACCTCCTCCACACCAAAGCTTAAGCTGCCTGAAGCACACCAGGGGGATTTTCCAGACTCTGGAGGATGCTGAGGAGGAGAAAGCAGTGGGGCTGGGGCTCTAGGAGCAGGTGTTCCGACGGGGCATGTGGCAGTGGGCCAGGTCCCAGCGCACGCCGAAGCGCAGGGAGTCGCGCTTCTTCATGGTGGGCACCTCGTACGTGTTGGGCACGAGGCGCTTCTGTGCCCGGCGCGGCATTCCCGACTCGAGCATCTGCCTCCGCATGGCCCAGCGCACGCCCTGATGTGAGTCCTGCCCGGGAAAGTTGAATCTCTTCCAGTCTTGCCTGTAGGCGTTTAGTCTGGCCACCGGGTCAGCTCTCTTCACTCTGTCAGCCTGTGGGGCGATGTAAGCGGGCACCGTGCGCGGCCGCCCTGGCACCGAGCGGTTGGATGTAGTGTCGCTCCCAAAATCCCCCAGCTGGGAGTAGGACCTGTCCTCAAGGAACCAATCATCATCATCATCATCATCATCATAGTCCTCCAAGGTGCCGCTGCTGCTCTCTGTTTCCCCTTCGGAGATGGTGTCATCCATAAAAGTCCTGGAGTGCTCCAGGTTCCATGGACTGGTGTTTATATCTGGCTCCATGCTCGGTGACTCATTGGAGACCTCCACGCTTCCATCGGGTCTGTGCCTCAGCACCTTCCTCTTCATCACCAACCTCCTGGTTTCCTTATGATCCATGGGAAGGGCTGACTGTGTGCCAGAACCAATGGATGTGTCAGCATAGGGATCATCCTGGAAACACAAAGGCACCTCGCAGCATCTCTGCCACGAGCTTGGCTGGCTCAGATCAGCTGCCAGCTGCTCCCTGCTCTCTGCTCTCAGCACCTTCTCCATGGTTCCCACCAAACTCAGTGGATCCTGCAGAAAAAGAAACCAGGGTTAATTTATTGCAATACATTCACGTTGGCTAAAAAATGTCAGAGGGGCTCTGATGCTCAAGTTTTTGGGTTCAGGGGTGTTGATTTAGGTTGGGGGTGTCCTCAGTGCACTGCTAAACCTCCTGCTGCCAGCCCTACAGTAACACAAACACAACCCCTAAATTCCTACTAAAAAACTACACTAAAATCAATTACCTGATAAGTTCTCATGGAAAAACACAAGGCAGGTTCCATGCACTGGGTGAGAGATTAATGGTCTTTCCTTGTACCTCTGCTTCTAAACCCACAATATTTAGTCATAATTTAATCAAGAGACATCCAAGAGGGTGTTTTACTTCCAGGGGAGGGAAGGGCTTAGTGCAGTGTGTTTTGGTGCTCATTTATGAGTCTGGTGATAGTAAACCTCCACCTTGTGACAAAAAGGGATCCAGACATGGATTCCACTCTCAGCACAGGTTTAGGATCTCTTTAAGGCGACTTGAAAAGCTGCAAGTGTTGCTGGTGGCACTGGGAGCAGTGGGAGCAGATGGTGGGGCGGGATGAGTGTCAGCACGCTGTCTGCAGCGGGGATGCAGGTGTGAATGTGACAAAGGCTCCCTGATGGCTCCCCAGAACGTGCTGCTGCTGACTGAGCAGATCCCATCAGCTGGGGGAAGAGGAGTGATTGAGGAGTCCAAAAAAAGCTTTGAGTGAAATGAAGCTGCCTGAGCTAAGCACCAGTGGCCTTGCCCAGCCTGTGCTCCCCTGGGAACACCAAGGGGCTCAAACAATGAAGACTGACTCTGTTAGTAAAAGTTATTTTGCAGAACGAGCCTAGAGATCTAATAAAAACCACATAAAAATGCAAATCCACCGTTTGTTTTTCTTTCCCTGCAGACCCCAAGGATCCTCCAGCGACAAACTGACATTCCAAGGTGGTGGCTATGGCTGAGGAGAGCACGGCTACTGACCACGAGCAGCTCCTGAGGAGGGTGCAGGAGCTGGAAGTGGAGGTGAAGCGGCTGCAGGAGAAGCTCCAGGAGGACAAGGAGGGTGCTGGGAAGAGAGAGGCTCCTCCAGCCCCTGGGAAAGGCAGGAAACGCCAACAACGGCCCTTTGATTTCGCCGCCCACAGCCGCAGACACGTGGCACTGCGCATCGCCTACCTGGGCTGGGGCTACCAGGGCTTTGCCAGCCAGGAGAACACCCCCAACACCATCGAGGAGAAGCTCTTTGAAGCCCTGAAGAAGACACGGCTGGTGGATGACAGACAGACGTCCAACTACCACCGCTGCGGGCGCACGGACAAGGGTGTCAGCGCCTTCGGGCAGGTCAGCATCTCCACGAGGGCTCCTGTCGCTTCTCCTGGGTGGGATGGAGATCTGATGGGGTCACTGTCCCACAGCACAGCTTGGATTTGTTCTGTAAAAGCCATCAGCTCCTAACCCTGGGAGTGAACCTGGCAGTGGCTTCCTGCACGTGCAATGATGATTTTTCAGTGCCATTTCCCCCCCATATTAGTTGTTTTCCAGGGTGCTGTTTTAGGAGGATAAAACGTGTTTTAGGCTGCAGATTCCCCAATAGCTCGGTGATGCCCTGCCCTTGGCAGAGCCCTCTCGGCTGATTTAACTTGCCAACCCTACAAAAACCCAAAATCTCCAGGAACCTGCTCACTTCCTGCAGCATCAGGCAGCTGAATTCCTGCACAGAAGGGTCTGAGGGGAGCTGCAGCCAGCGGAAGGGAGTGTGGGAGTGGGAGCTGGAGGGAGGGAAACAAGCTGGCCCGCTTGGTGGGCATGGAGCCATCAGGCTGGCTGAGACACTGGGGAGAGAGCAGCCTTGGTGGCTTCACCATAGGGCTGGTTCACCTTTCTTCCCTCCCAGCACAGAAAGCAAAGCTGGTGTAGGTTTAACTTCAAATGGCTGCTCTGCTCTCCTTCACAGGATGAGCCACATGAAATCAGGGCATTTAGTGCCTTCTCTTGCACCACCTCAGCATACGGCACCCACGGTGGGAATGAACTTGTTCCTACACCCGGCTTCCCGGGCAGCCAGGCTGTTACTGCCTTCAAGTCATCACCTCCAGCTTGAGAAAAAAAAAGCACGTTATAACCCTGTGACTAAAGATGAAGCCATTCCGAGACTGTGCTACGTAGGCAGCCTGCAACTTTCCCTGTTTTATTAATGGAATCCATGGCATCTGCTCAGGTCCTCAGAGGCACTCGCAGCTCTGCCATGGCAGGACTGCCTGGTTGAAACCACCTTCATCTGTAGGAGATCCTGGATTTATTTCCCAGAGGTGTGGGAAGACTTGGCTCCATCCATGCTCTAATCCTGGCTTTCCTCGTTTCTGCAGGTGATCTCCCTGGATCTCCGCTCCAGCCTGCCAGAGGGGCAGCAGCTCAACGGCCACGGGGGCGAGGGGCAGCAGGAGGAGCTCCGTTACACCCACATCCTGAACAGGGTGCTGCCGCCCGACATCCGGGTGCTGGCCTGGGCCCCCGTGGGGCCGGAGTTCAGCGCCCGCTTCAGCTGCCTGAGCCGGACCTACCGCTACTTCTTCCCCTGCGCCCAGCTGGACGTGGCCCTCATGGACACCGCGGCCCAGCGCTACGTGGGCACCCACGACTTCCGCAACCTCTGCAAGATGGACGTGGCCAACGGGGTGCTCAACTTCCAGAGGACGATCCTCAGGGCCAGAGTGACACGGGTGAGCGGGGGAGGAGAAGCCAGGCCACGGGATCCCTTCCAGCTGTGCCAGTTCGAGGTGACGGGGCAGGCATTCCTGTACCACCAAGTCCGCTGCATGATGGCCGTGCTCTTCCTCATCGGGCAGGGCATGGAGAGCCCAGATGTCATTGATGAGCTGCTGAACGTGGAGAAGAACCCCCGGAAACCGCAGTACAGGTAGGGACTGGTCTGGAGAACCCAATGGGCTGCTCCTCACGGCAACAGCTGTGCCTGGAGTGCTGCTGGCAAGCCATGCCAGCACATGAAGCAGTCTCACATGTGCAAACAGCCAGCCAGTGGTCTCACTGGAATGTATCCTCAAGGATCTCTGTTTTCTTGCTCTTGAGCTAAGTTTTGATAGCAGTAGTCCTTGGTGTTGGGTGAAAATTAAGTCACTTTTTACTCAGAAAGGAAGTTCTGTGAAGGTTAGGGCTGTTTTGGCAGATCCATTGTTCTTGAGCCTTTTTGTGGTCCCACGTCCTCTCCTTGTCCCCAGCATGGCGGTCGAGTTCCCTCTGGTCCTGTACGACTGCGAGTTCCCAGACCTGCAGTGGCTCTACGACCCAGAGGTGCAGGGCTTCAACGTGACACACTTGCAGCAGCTCTGGGCCAGCCACGCCGTCAAAACCCACGTGCTCCGGGACATGTTGGCAGGGCTGGATGCTGCTCCCATGGCCACAGGAAAAGGTAGAGGGAGTCTGGGGGGAATAACTTGGAATGCACGCTGACAGGCAGCACGCTTGGATATTGGGAATAAATTCTTCCCTGGGAGGGTGGGCAGGCCCTGGCACAGGTGCCCAGAGCAGCTGTGGCTGCCCCTGGATCCCTGGCAGTGCCCAAGGCCAGGCTGGATGGGGCTTGGAGCAACCTGGGACAGTGGAAGGTGTCCCTGCCCATGGCAGGGGGTGGAACTTGACAAGCTTTAAGGTCCCTTCCAACACAACCGTTATGGGATTCTGTGAATTACAGAGGATTAACTGATTTAAATAATTACAATTAAACGTTGTCTTTCCATGCACAGATCCAGGGAGCAGCCTGGTGCCCTGGGGGGAGCTGCAGCCCCCGCTGCACAGCCAGATCAGCGGTTTCCTGGAAGGGGTGCAAGCCCGGAGCTACAAGCCGCTGCTGGCCCGGCCCCGGTGCGAGGGGCTGGAGGCGCGGATCGAGCACTGGGTGCGGAGGGGCCGCATCGAGCCGCCCCCGGGCCCCGAGGGCAAGCGGGGCAGCGGCGCAGCCCCCGAGCAGCTGCCCAAGAGGATCTGTGTGGACCCCGAGTGACGCTTCACCCTTTTTTAAAATGCCTGGTATTGAAAAAAAAAGGTGTTTTTTCAGTGCTATTTTTTATAAATCTCAAGATTTATAACGGTGTTGTGTTCTGGCTTGTGGGCAGTGAGGGGTGGCTGCGGCGGTGCTGGCCGGGACCCCCCGCCCCTCTCGCCCCCCGTACCTCGGGCCCGGCCGCGCCGCTCCCGCCGCTCCGTTGGGACCCGCAACCGCCGCCGCGGTTTAAGCACCACCCGCGCGCCGCCATTGGCCAGCGCGGCTGTCACTCAGCTGGCAGCGCCTTCCCATTGGACAGGCACTCCGCGGTGCCGCAGCCGCGGCGCCCCCATTGGCCAGCAGAGGGACGCGGGGAAGGAGGTAGAAGATGGCGGCGGGTGGTGCGGCGGCGAGGCGGTGTTGGCGGAGCGGCGCGGGGCTGGCCGGGGCCGTGCGTGGCATCTGCGGGAGCGGACGGGCGGCGGCGGCTGTGCGGGCGGAGGAGCTGGCAGAGCGGCTGCGGAAGAGCGAGGAGAAACAGCGAGAGGTGAGCGGAGTGCAGGCCTCTGGGCCCGGGTCTCCGGACTACAACTCCCGGCGTGCACAGCGCGGGCGGTTACGGGCAGCGGGCCTGGCGGTGAGATGGATTGGGTTGGGATGGGAGAAAACCATCCAGTTCCACCCGCTGCCGTGGGCAGGGACACCTTCCACTATCGCAGCGTGCTCCAAGCCCCGTCCAGACCTGGCCTTGGGCACTGCCAGGGACGGGGCAGCCACAGCTGCTCTGGGCAACCCGTGTCAGGGCCTCACCACCCTCACAGGGAAGAATTTCTTCATAATATCCCCTCTGTCTGTGTGAAAGCCATTCCCCCTTATCCTGTCAGTCCAGGCCCTTGCTCAGAGTCCCGCTCCAGCTCTCTTGGAGCCTCTTTAGGCACTGGAAGGGTCTCTGAGCTCTCCCTGGAGCTTCTCCTGTCCAGGTGAGCACCCCCAGCTCTCCCAGCCTGGCTCCAGAGCTGAGGGGCTCCAGCCCTTGGAGCATCTCCGTGGCCTCCTTGGGACTGGCTGCAGCAGCTCCAGCTCCTTCCCGTGCTGGGAGCCCTGAGCTGGAGGCAGCTCTGCAGGTGGGTCTGTGCTGGGGGGCAGAGGGGAAGAATCCCCCCTGCCCTGCTGCCCACGCTGGGGATCAGCCCAGCACAGGGGGGTTCTGGGCCAGGGCCTGTCCAGCTCTCACCCACTGCACCCCGAGTGCTCCTCCCAGAGCTGCTCTCAGCCCTTCATCCCCAGCCTGGACTGGTCCTGGGGGTTGCCTGACCCAGGTGCAGCACCTGCCCTTGGCCTTGTTGAACCTCATGAGATTGCCCAAGGCCACTGATCGCTTGTCCCGATCCCTCTGGATTCCAGGCTGTCCCTCAGCCATGGAGCAGGAGCACATGGCAGGCGAGCAGATTGCTGCAGGTCCCAGTGCAGGTCTGTGTGAGAGCCAAGAGCTGTTTAAACCCCACCACTGGTGTCTCGTTCTCTCCTCAGCTCCCCAAGGACCCGACGCAGCGATGGCTCCGGGAACTCGCTGCACTGAGCCAGCAGCTGCAGCAGGTTCACCCCAACGTCCTGGCCAAGATCCTTAAGCAGAGAACTCTATACCAGAATGAGGAAATTGTGGTGATAGACAAACCCTACGGGCTCCCTGTGCATGGTGAGGGCAAGTGGGGAATGGAAATGGATCCATGGTGCTTATGGGGTCTTTGTCTCTGTCCTTCCTGTGCTGGGCTTTCCCTTCCCAGGGAGGGCTCCGGGGCTTGGTCACTGTCAGATCTCAGCCTTCCCCTGGAATTCTGGGGTGATTTAGGGTGCATGGGGAGTACGAAAGATGAGACTCCTTGCTGCCCTGGGTCACACAGGCGGCCCTGGCATCAAGAACTGCATCGCTGATGTGCTGCCCATTTTGGCCAAGATGCTGGAGAACATGAAAGCTGAGCCACTCCACCTCTGCCACCGGCTGGACAAGGAGACCACGGGTGTGATGGTGCTGGCACGGAGTAAGGAGGCAGCAGAGAAGATCCGTCTGCTCTTCAAAACTCGTCAGGTGGAGAAGATCTACTGGTAGGAAAGGCTTGAATGAAAATGGGGCTGTGAAAGGCATTTAAAGAAAGGGTGAGCCCCCAGTTCCTGAGGTGTGGGGGCTTTGTGGAAATTGAGGGTGTTGTTTATCTCCTCCTTTCAGCACCATTTTATGGGACTGGCTTGTGAGAGAGGGGCTGAGGGGAGGGATCCCTTCCTGTGAGAGCAACACCCCACAGACCTCAGCTTTCCCTTTCCAGGGCAATTGTCCTGGGGGACCCGGACCCTGTTGAGGGCGTTGTGGAGATCCCTATTGTGGAAAAGGAGGTGCAGAGCCACCAGTCCCACTACAAAGTGAGTCCTGTGTTCCCTCAGCCGCCATTCTGGCCAGGCAGCCCCAGCATCCCCTCCTGCCTCCCCCAACTGCCCCTCTCACCCCCCTTCAGATGACGCTGGCTCCCAACTACCGCCTGTGTCCGGAGGACGGGAAGGTGATGAAAATCCGCGGGCACCGGCACGCCGAGCGCGCGGTGACGCGGTACCGCCGGCTGTGCGCCGCCTCCGCCTGCTCACTGCTGGAGCTCCAGCCCATCACCGGTGAGTGAGGCCTGCCCGGCTCTCCTGGGGCTGGATCTGCTCTCTGTGCAGTCAGTGCAGCTCTGGAAGGGGGAACTTGTGGTTAGACAAGACTGGGATCGTTTTTGGCACAAAGCTCTGGGGATGAGCCCTGCTGGGGTGACGCTTTGCTGCCGAGCCCTTTGCCAGCTGCCAGCGATTTGTGCACAGCTTTGCCCAGCGTTGAGGGTGAGGCCTGGCACAGCTGGATGTCAGCTTTATCCCCCTTTTCTCCACAGGGGTGAAGCACCAGATCCGGGTTCACCTGGCCTATGGCTTGGGATGCCCCATCCTGGGGGATCACAAATACTCGCACTGGAGCAAACTGGCGCCCCAGGTAGGGCAGCTCTTGCACTGGGGAGCAGCTGGAGCTGGACACGGCCCCTTGTGTCCCCCAGCTGCTCGTGGGCTGGGATTTCAAGTCCCAGCTGAAAAGCTGCAGTTTTGAAGGGAACATTTTCTGTCCTTGCTGCAGAAGCTTCCTGAGCACACCCTGAGGAGGCTGAAGCTGGAGCAGAGCAAGGCTCGGCACCTGCCCCTGCACCTGCACGCCCACCGGCTCTGCCTGCCCCTGGGCCAGCCCTTAGACTTTGTCTGCAAGCTGCCCCTCTTCTTCCAAAAAACCCTGAGGAAGCTAGAGCTGGACATCCCCAAGGACTGATGAGGCAGGACTGGAATGGTGCCATGTATCTCCATATCTCCAGCACGTGGCAGCAGCTGTGCCCACCTTGGAACAGGTGGTGGGGTGAAGCCTGCAGTCTCTGTGCTCGTGCTGATGTTGCTGGATTCAGAGTGGGTGCCTACATGAGCTTCTGGCCCAGGAAAGGAGCTGGACATGCTGAGGAGCCTCTAGCAGAGATGAACAAGGCTGGGTGAAAGTTGGGTTTTGCCTGATTCATGTTTTGAACTTGTCTCTGGGCAATAAAAGCTCCAGTTCCCTTGAGGGAAGGTGGTGTGTGTCTCTGTGCTCTGGCTGGGTGGGACTCAGTCCCTGTGTATGTTTGAGCAGATGTCGTTGCAGCTCCTCCTAGATTTTGGAATTGTCACTTGTCTCTCCAGAGTTGTTTAGCTCAGATTTGGAGAGTCCATTCATTGGAAAATCCATGGAAAGTGCAATTTGGCAGTGGCTGTGGTATTTCTTTGCTGTGCTGAGACTGCACAGGGAGTTCCTTGGCTTGGCTGGGCTGAGCAGCTCTGTGACTGCCCCTGCTCTGTGCTGCCAGCAGCATTGGTGTGGGTTTCTCAGCACTGTGCTGCTGGGAAACTGTTCTGTCCCACTGCTCCTTCAGTTACCCTATTCCTTATTTTTAGAACCCCTTATTGAGATCCCCTGCGCTTGGGAGCTTTCCTTGGAGCCAGATTCTTTCCCCTGTGCCCTGAGAGGGAGACAAGAGGAGGACTGACGATCTGCAGAATTGCAGCTGATGTTCTGCCTCAAAATTACCTCATTTGATGTCTCCTGACCTGCCTGGGAAGCTTGGGACTGGGCAGCAGGATGTTCTCTGGCCCCTCTGACTGGTTTGGGTGATGGAAAGGGGTTTTTATGTCCCACAGGGCCACTGTGTATCTGGCTGGGGCTTCTTGCTGTAGGAGGGCCCAGTCTCCTGGCTCCCTGCTGAAAATAGCTGGGGACCCCCATGCCCTCGGGCCACAGTGCCAGAAATCTGTTGGCTGATGAGAGAGGGCCATAAAACCGCGGGGAGCCAGGAGCGGCTGCGGGCAGCAGGAATGCTGTCAGGGAGGAGAGCTGCTTTCCCAGCCCGCTGCCTTCCCTGCTCGCTGCTGCAGCTGCTGGGGTGGGTTTTTCTATTTCTGTTTGTGAAAAGGCTTCCCCTGTAATTAGGAGGTGATTTAACGCCTTGTCTGACACAGCTGCAGGACACAGCACTCAGCGGGCTCTCGGCAGGGACTCCTCAGCCCAGCAAAGTCGCTCCTTGAGCCAGTCACACCTCAGGCAGCCTTCATCAGTGTCTCTTCCTCACTTCAAAATGTCCCTCTCGCACACGGCTGCTGAGTACATGCTCTCTGATGCTCTGCTCCCGGATCCCAGCAGCTCCCGAGCCAAGGGCTTGCGGCTGGAGCTGCCCAGCGATCGCCTGCTGAAGTTTGTCACCGTGGGGCTGCCCCTCTTCCTCGTCTCACTGGCTTTCGCCCGGGAGTTCTCTGCTGGTGAGTTGCAGCTTTTCCAATGTGTTCTTCAGTGGTGATTTGGTTGTTGTGGCAAACCCCTTGTATTCTTGTATTCATGTATTCCACACCATGAAAGCGGAACAGCCTGGAAATCTGGTTTTAGGAGTTGTTCTGCCTCATGGGTGTTTATTGATTGCTCTAAATGGATCATAATTCCCTGGGAGAGTGTAGGAACAGCTGTGCTAACCTCAGGAGCAGCACTGAGACAATACCCAGCCCCAGCTGCTTGTGCACAGCACCTTTGGGTGCCATAGGCTTATTTCCAAGGAGGAGGAAGAAGAGGAGGAGGGTGCCAGCAGCATGGAGAGATGCATTGTGACCTCAGGCTAAATCTGGCCTCGGCCAACATCTAACTGCTCTCCCTGAGGATTTGGTTTTACTCCAGTTTCTGGCTGGTTAGCCTATAATTCCCTACACTGTGTACACATTGCTACACACAAAGGGTTTGTGTTCGGGAAGAGATGGAAAAGTCCTGGCTAGAAACACAGCAGCTCCAAAATGACCATGAAAAAGGCTTTTTTTTTATTCAAAGCAATGCCTGAAATGTAATTACCCTCCTGTAAGGTATTTGCTCGTGGCTTTGGAGTGTTCCTCCACCCTCCATGGCTGAGGTTTGCTCTCCTCCTCCTCACCCCAGGCTCCCAGATCAGCTGCTTCTCTCCCACCAACTTCACCGGGAAGCAGTCCGCCTACACCGACACGGCTTGCTGGGACTCCCTCATCCACCATGGCTTTGACGCCGAGGGACGTGCCATCACCAAGTCCCTCTGGGCTCTGAAGGTAGTGTCAAAGTCACTCTGGGCACCCCTGCATCCCATCTGGGCGTCCACAGCAAGAGCAACTCGACATCCTCAACAACTGTTGGTGTTCTTTGCCCAGGTCTTCCCCTACTCGCTGCTGGTGGTGGCGGTGCTGATGTACCTGCCGTACCTGCTGTGGCGTTACGCTGCCGCCCCCGCCCTGCACTGCGACCTCCTCTTCATCATCGACGAGCTGGATAAATCCTACAACCGCTCCGTGCGCCTGGTGCAGCACATGAAGAAGGTCCAGCAGGCCAGTGCCGAGCCGGAGCAGTTCTGGGAGGAGTATGAGAGGTGAGGCCAGGCCAAGTCACCGTGGCCCTTGGAGTCCCTCCAGTGGTGCTGTGGCTGCACCCAGGATGGACCTGGGTGAAATGGGGGGTGGCTCTCACTCCCCCTGTGTCCCTCCTGCCCCAGGGCCCGCGAGGAGAGGTATTTCGAGTTCCCATTGCTGGAGCGGTACCTGACCTGCAAGCAGCACGCCCACGCCCTGGTGTTCATCTACATCCTGAGGAACCTGCTGCTGCTCCTGTTCTTGGCTGCCACCTGTCTCTACCTGGTCTTTCTCCACCTTAACATCTTCTTCCAGGACGAGTTCAGCTGCTCCATCAAAACGGGGTTGCTCCAGGCGGAGCCGCACATCCCGTCGCTCATCCCTTGCAAGCTGGTCTTCTTCTCCGTGTTCCAGCTCATCAGCCTCTCAGTCGGCAGTGTCTATGTCCTCCTCATCCCCGTTGTCATCTACAACGCCCTGCAGCTCTGCCAGTGGGACAAGGGGCTGCTCTCTGTCTATGAGATGCTGCCTGCCTTCGACCTGCTCAGTCGCAGGATGCTCACCTGCCCCCTCAACGACCTCAACGTCATCCTGCTCTTCCTCCGTGCCAACATCTCCGAGCTGACCTCCTTCAGCCGCCTCAACGCCGTCAGCGCCCTGAGGGAAGCCACTGCCAACAAGGAGGACATCGACACCGTCATCGATTTCATGACGCTGCTGGCTGGGCTGGACACCACCAAGCCCAAACACCAAGCTTGCACCCCCGAGGCCGAAGGCAGCCCAGCCCTCTCCAATGGTGCAGCCCTAGGTAGGCTTTTTGGGTAGAGACAACTTCTTCCCTCTTCTCTGCGCTCCCACACCACAAGATCCCGCCCTTGAAATGTGGCTGGACCACCCGAAATCCTGTGCCAAGACCTTAAGGTGTCTGGGGCATAGCTGGGGGTCACTGTGAGGGCTGACAAATCCTGGAAGAGGTTCTGGCATGCAGAGTGTGATGCTACTGCGATCCAAGGTGTGGGCAGGGGTTGCTATAGGAACAGCAAGCCAAGAGATTGCTGCTTAAATCCAAGCTCTGGGCAAACTGCGGGGCTGAGAGGGTCCCTGTTTTTGGCAGCTCATCCTGCTGGGAGTGGGGTTGGGAGTTTAAATCCTGGGGGGCTGATGCCAAGGATGCCATGCCCACCCCCTTCTCCCATTCATATGGCACTGGTGGGTACAGTGATGCTGTGTGTGGAGATGGAGATGGGTTCCAAGATAAAACCACATTCCCAGGACCTACACTGCTCCCTCTCCCACGTGCTTTGGGTCTTTTGGGGCTGGATGCCTCCTCTGGGGTCTCACAGGGATCCCTGGCGCTCATGGCAAGTGGTTTGCAGGGTGTGTGAGACAGCCCAGCCCCACAGGTAGGAGCTGAGAGGCCTGGGCTTCATACCTGGCCCTGAACACAGTCAGAATTATGGTTTAAAAAATCCACAGACTGAGCTGGAGTCTGCATCCTCATTACCATGGCAACCCAGGGCCACCACAGCTGGCTCCTGGGCCAGTTACTCGGTGCTGGAAAAAGCCCAGATCCTAGTCTGCCATTGCCCAGCTAATTAACTGTGTGCTCTTCCCCCCTTGTCTAGAACCAAAGCCTGGAGCGGAAACGATGGGAAAAGCCTCACGGGACTCACTTGGCTCTGCCTGATCCCGAAGAAGGCAGCAGGCAGAGATCCTGTGATCCCTGGATCCACTTCTCTGACACAGCTGTACTGCAGCAGCCGGGCTGAACCCACCTGTGCTTCCTGCACCTGGCCTTTCCCTTCTTGTGTACATTTGTCCAGCAAAAAAGGGTTAAATAATCCGTGTTTTGTGCAGAACCTCTCGGGTCTCTTATTCTAAGTGCTGGGTGCCATGCTGTGCCTCTTCCACATAAATTTCCCTGCTCTTATGGCAAGAGGTTGGGAATAGAGGATTAGGAGTGCTCATCTGAACGCAAAAAATGATTCAGGAATAAAATGAGGTGGTTCCTTAACTGTTTATTAAGAGGGAAGTGGAAGGCACTTGCAGCCCTCCACAGCTCCCCAGCCCAGCATTTGGCTGTGTTTTTTTGGCACAGCTCCTTTCTCCCCCTCTCCACCCTGCAGCTGGAAGTTGATCCCTGGATCCTATGAGCACCCTACCCTCGGGATCAGCAGTCTGTCCCCAGAGAAATGGGGTGTCAGGGGGCCAGGACCAGCTCCATGGACAAGAGAGCAGCAGTGAGGGGTTCAGCTCCCATTGGTGTGTCCTGCTGCTTCTCCTTACATAATTTTTCATATATTTAATTGTAAATTGGTTTCTCCCCCTTCCCCCCACCCTGCAGCCTTGGCTCGAGCCCACAGAGGAGCTGAAAAGTTGTTTAATTAATAAGGTAGTAATGAAGCCTCTGATTCTCTTGCTTGGGAAGGGACAGTGCCAGGAGCCACGAGTGCTTTGTCAGAGGTCTGAGCTCACACATCTCCCTAATTTAGGAGGAAACTGGAGCCAGGGAGGAGCAGCAGCTCTCTCCCTCCGGCAGCGTTCCCTGCAGGGAGGGTGTCCAGCAGGAAGGGGGGTGCAGGCAGCCCCTGGGAATTGTAGAGGGGGCAGGCCTGGTACTCACAGGGCCACTCGGCCCAGGCATAGCGCAGGCCCAGCACCAGCGTCCTGCAGCCACTCAGGGCCAGCGTCACTGTGCGGGACCCTACTGCCACCACTGGTGCCAGCAGCCACTGGCATGGGGATGCCTGGCTGGGGCAGCACACCTGGGGAGGAGAGAAACCCCCATCAGTGTTGCCTTCCCTTTCACAGCTCTTTGGAGAAGATATCCCAGTCCTCACCTCAAATGCCTGGGCATCCCTCTGACGGCAGATGAGCTCCTGGCTGTAGGTGACATTCAGCAGGCCCCTGGTCACCTCCAGGACAGCCCGGGTGGGATACGGTCCCTGGAACACAAGGCCCTTGTCCCCATATGCCACAGCCATGGCACCCAGCAGCAGTTGGTGAGCCACATTCTGCTTGTCCCGGGGGTGGATACTGCCCAGGAAGAGGAGGAAGATGGAGCTGGAACCCAAAACCTCCATCCCTACACCCTCACCCCAGCCCAGGACTCACCTGCCATAGGGAGAGTGCTCATCACCCAGATCCATGGCTACAGCCATGAAAGTGCTGGGCATCCTGGCATTGGGAACAACGCCCAGGTCGGCTGTTTGGTGCCAGCGGAGCCGGGCAAAGCTGTCGTCTGCACTCCAGCGGCGGTAGGTGGACAGCTGCGAGGCACAAGTGAAACAGGGGAGTGGCTCAGATCCAAAACTGGCCACTGTGGTCCCTGCCTGGGATTTTCAGCACTTGGCAGGATGCATGTGTGTTTACAGAATGCTCTCCCAGGACATCCCCCAAGGACAATGGGGGATGTCACCCCTCTCAGCCCCCACACCTGCACAAAGCCAAAGGGGAGGAGTGGCTCCGTCTGCCCGGCTGATCCGGTGTGGAACGCCCAGCGCCAGTCGGCAATGAGTGCAGGGAAGGTGCAGTTGTACTGGTCTGTGTTCAGGAAGGCATTGGCCTCACCTGTCCCCCAAAAAGAAGGGCTGGTGAGAGCTTGCTGGGACAGTCGGGGCTGCTCCATCCCAGGGGATAGAAAGGGGGGGCTCACCCTGGTACCAAGCGACGCCCCGCAGGGTCATGTTGAGCAGCGGGTGGATCATGGCGTTCCAGAGCACGGAGGGTGTTTGTGGGCCAGAGAGATGCTGATGTGGAGAGGTGCTGGAAGACGAAGCTAGGTTTAAGGGAGGTGCAAAGCACAAGGCAGCCTTTAGGTTAAAGCAAGCACCATGCCAAAGGGAGATCTGGAGTCCCTCCCTTCTCCCTTTACCCACCCAGACGTGCCTTATGCTCTTGGCATGGCAGGGCTTTTTATCCAGAGGGGGCATAGTGATGCACAGAGGGGGCTGTGAGGCTCCCGGAGAGAAGGTGGGGTGGGAAGGCATGAGGATACTCCCCAAAAGCAGCATGGTACAGAACAGGAGGAGTTTCCACAGCACCTTCTCTCACCTCCCTGTGTCCTCTGGGAGCCCACATGCCTGCAGAACGTGGCGGGAGGACCAGGCCTCGATGGGGGTCCCCCCCCAGGCCACCTCCACCAGCCCGATGGGGAACCCCAGAGCCTCATACAGAGAGCGCCCCAACAGCCAGCACACGGCCGAGAAGTAGGTGAAATTCCCGTGGCCCAGGTTTTCTGCTCAAGAAACAGTGGGCTGCAAAGGGAAACAGAGGGGAAAAAGCCATTTGCAAGCTCTCTTTTGGAGGCACATTGCACTTACCAGCTGTTGGAATGGACCACGGCAAATCAATCTGCTCCAGGTCCTCCAGCTCCACTTCGGAGCGGGCAGGTGCCGCAGCAAAGACACGGACGTGGGGATAGCGAGCAGCAGCGGCAAGCTCCTGGCTGGCATTGGCCACCTGAAGAAGGGCCAGGAGCATGCAAGGCAATTCCCTGCCTGATCCCTACCTGCTCCTGCCTGATCTGTGGTGTGGGGCCTTACCTGCAGGACTGTCATTGCCATGTTGCTCTGCCCACTGCAAAGCCACACATCTCCAAAGTAGATGTCCTGCAGTGTCACGTTCTCCAAGCCCTGCTCAGCCCTCAGGGCATAGGGACCGCCCCGATCCATTGGGTCCAGGACAGTTGTCCAAGTCCCAGAAGGCCCTGGAGAAAGAGGATGGTGCTTATCTTCCCTTATGAAGGCCTCAAGACCTTCACCAGGATGTTGGATGAGCAGCCAACAGCCACTGGGGAAGGAGAGGCAACAGGGAAAAGCTTCTCCACCACAGAGATAGGTTGGGGAAATGGATTTCAGAAGCTCTCTGGCATCAGAGGGACCTTTCTCCTGCAGGAATTTAGGGGTTAAACAAGAAAACCTGGAAAACAAATGTGTGTCAGAGCAGAAGCTGCTGGGAGGAACTGGGATTACAAGAGCAGCTTGGTGTGTGTGACACTGAGATGTCTCCAGCTAATTTTAGAGGCGCCAAATTGAAGCGTAAAGATATTCTGCTGGAGCTTAGCGTGGATTTTCTGGCTGGATCCTACAGATCTCCTGGATTGCTGCTCTCCCACAAGACACCTCCAGGCTCTTCATCTCATAGAGGTGCCCTTGGGCAGCACTTTTACCCTCCAAAGATGGTGAGTTCCCTCCCAACTCTTCAAGCAGTGCTGTAGCTGGATTTGAGGTGCCCCTGAGCCCTCCCAGCTCCAGGAAGGCTCTGCTTGCACAGACAACATCCTTATGGGCTTAGAGATCCTACAGGATCCCTCAAGGGGGCTCTGCAGGTTCCTCAGACCTGGTTTAGACAGGGAGAGAAGTTAAATTCCCCTTGTCCCCTCCACAGCTTCGGCTCCAGCCTGTGCAGTGCCACCCACTCCAGCAGCAGCTCAGCGCCCGAGCTGGGCACCCACGGGACCCACTGCTGGGAACCAAAGTGAGCAAAGGCTGCCACTGCTGGGGAGGGCAATGGCTGAGCCCCCCAGGTCTTCTGGAGAGGGAAAAGCACGAGCTGGAGATGTCACCAGCACCTCTGCAGCCCCAGGGCAGCAGTGTGACAAACACGGGGGTGGTGCCAAACCCTGTCTCACCCATCCCACCTGATTTGGGCTCAGACAAGTTCTTTGGCCACCAAAACCATCAGCCCCATTTCTAGTGAAAGTCTTGGACTGACCTTTAACCTGTGCTGTTTTCTCCATGATGATGAGGCCACTGGCACCTGAGAGAGTCAGGGTCACCACGGCCCCCTGCTCCCCGTGGCCCCACACCACAGCCCCTGACGGCTTCTGCTGCAGCACCATGTGGTCACCATAGTAGGAGGCAAAGCTGAGCATTCCCCCTGCAATCAGCAAACAGTGCAAACATCAGCTCCGAGAGAAAAACACCCTCAGCATGGCCTCTAACCTCCTCTTAAATACAGGTTATTTGAGCCCACTGAATGTACAGACTCCTGGTCAGCTTTAAGGTGGTTAAAATCACCACAGAGATGAGGAAGAGGCAGAATTTAAACTCCACAAGAGGGAGTTCACCTCCTAAAGTACAGGGAGCATGTTACATCTTTATTACATGGATTTGGACACAGATTTTGTAAAAATTCCTCTAATAACAGCATAGGAGTGTCTCTCTCAGCCCAGCCTTGCTAATGAATGTTCTGATGCATTCTTCCCTTGGAAAAAGGTTTGTCCAGGGGTGGGATGGAAAACATCGGGTGTGCAGCATTGGCAAAGGCACCCTCAGTGGGGATGGAAGCAGAAGGCTCAGGCCTGGCACCTCCAAGAGCCCCGTTTTTGCAGTGTGAAAAGAAAATCATGTTTGAAAAGAGGGTCAGAAGTAATGTGTGAGGGGTGATCTGGGCAGAGAACCCCAGTGACCAAATCGGAGCTCATGGAGCCTCATCTCCACTGCAGCTCATCCTAGGCTGGGTTTTAGGAAAGAAAGGGGAAGGGGAAGGGAAGGGGAAGGGGAAGGGGAAGGGGAAGGGGAAGGGGAAGGGGAAGGGGAAGGGGAAGGGGAAGGGGAAAGGGAAAGGGAAGGAGGAAAGGAAAGGAAAGGAAAGGAAAGGAAAGGGAAGGAAAGGAAAGGAAAGGAAAAGAAAGGAAAGGAAAGGAAAGGAAAGGAAAGGAAAGGAAAGGAAAGGAAAGGAAAGGAAAGGAAAGGAAAGGAAAGGAAAGGAAAGGAAAGGAAAGGAAAGGAAAGGAAAGGAAAGGAAAGGAAAGGAAAGGAAAGGAAAGGAAAGGAAAGGAAAGGAAAGGAAAGGAAAGGAAAGGAAAGGAAAGGAAAGATGTCCTCGGCCCTTCAGGAGTCAGCTGCATTGC